CCAAAAGATCCAATTCCTGCGATGAGGAAGTGGAGTTCGAAGATTGCCGGTGCTCAAACAACGAGAGCTTTTCGCGAACATTCATTCTTCTTGTTTCCTAGGAGAGAAGAATGACTTTGAACACTGTTTTTCCGGAGGCCGCTTACTTGGTGCGCTGCTATTTATATTCACATGGATTTCCTTGGAAAATATGATGGTTATTGCACAATCAGTGAGTTCTTTCGGAAAAGTATTGTAATTGTACTTTTACTTGAGTCACAAGAAAACAATTGACGAGTTAAATGGGTGTATTTCCTGTAGCAGTAAGCCTTTAAAACTAAAATTGCATCTTCTTTTGATACCAATTTTAATAAAACTAAAATTGCATCTTCTTCTTGTGCCAATTTTAATATTCTACATCTTCAGCAGGTTGCACCGAGAATGGTTTTATCGATGGTAATTAAACTGTTAATCCACATAAAGTTGATTAAAGGATATGGCTACACACTGGGCTAGTAATTTGATAGTTTGACTTAATAAAGGTCACTTTCCTTTATATGTTCTTGATTGAAATTAAAATCCTACGGATACATCCCATCACTGTCTACTTTGCCATATAATCCTCGCGGTTATATCTTCTATTTTCTCTACCATAATCAACATCCCTTTGCACTCAACATTATGAGGACATATGACATCGCTTTTAATCATTGTTTTAAAAATCAAATTAGATCAGTTGATTGGACCGACACTCAATAACATAAATGAGTCAAGTAGATGTTTAAAATCAATAAAAAAGTTGAATAAGTAGGTGTTTAGAGCCTATAGAAAAGTTGAATCATTTAAAACTAATAGATTCATTTGAATCAATATAAACCATTAAACAATTCAATTAAATGATATAAAGTTTTTAGAGAATTTTCTTTAACTTTGCATCCTCCAAAGTTCAAACACAAGACATCAAAAAGATTTAGTTACTTCTACCACTGGGACATGATTGGATTGAAAAGGTTTGCTTAAATTTTTTTTTTTTATTTTAATTGTAGGAAGAAAAGAATTGCCTTCCAACGGACTCCAACTTCGAAAATTAA